ACTTGCAGGATGATGTAACGGGAAAAGCAAAATTGTTTCTTTTGAGAAGTCTTTATTCTAGAATAAGAGCAGTTTTACCAAGTGCCATCCCAATTTTTCAGAGACAGATCAGCCTACTGCCTTGATCTTCCATGTAAAATACGAAGCACCAAGAACTCTAAGCCACTAGAGTCTAAGTATTTTTAAATAGCTGTTTATAGCACGTACACTCTGACAACACTATGTTGAAAATTCAGGGTGGGGTGAGGGGAAATAGGAGGGTGAAGGCGGAAAAAGCTGACCCTAGGATCATTTTGACATGTCAGAGACTAAGCCCATCAGTACTCTTGGGTTTCACAGGACAGTCTTATCCCTTGAAAGATTTGTTATCTGTGACACTTTATGGCTAAAGTTTGGTAATGCTTGTTTGATTTCTCCAAGTCATGCATTTTTGATTCTAGCTGACTAAGAAAGGGTTTGCACGCAAACTTTTGATACCTCCAAAATATCAGAAGGGATTTTTCAGTAACAAGCATTGGTGTAAGAAGGCCTAATAATTTTAGGGAAATATGTTTTAGCACCCAAATTCTTGTATGAGAAACAAAGATTTGGTTTCAAGCATATTTCTTTTGACAAGGTGGAGCTACACAACTCTGAAAAGGACAGCCAACATGACTTTTTTATACTAGAACCTATATTTCTATCTTACATTGGTAATTCACACCAACATCTTATTTCTATAAATCTTCTGTCACCTACCATTACCAAGACTGTGATCTATTACTAGGAATGTCACCTGAACATAAAATTTTAACAGTTTTCTTTAGAGAATTTTGTGCAGATTTTTTAGAAGCTTAGTTCGAAGCACACAATTCTCCCGCTTCAAGTAAGTGTCTCGTGGCATACAAAGTCTCAGCTCACTGTAAAACAACTTCCTGCTAAAAAAGTTAAGAAAGTTTGTCCTTCTCTCTTGTCCATGAACAGAAAAGCCCCCTTTTTTTAGAGGTTTAAAGTGTTTAAGAGAGATACATGAAGCTTTTAAGAAAATGAATAGGCAGTGTAAAAGTTTAAGTCAGTGAATTATTCAGATTCGTTTGAGATGATTTTTCCTACTTCAATGTAGCTATTGCTGCATATAAGTGAGGTTTGCTACAGGGTGACTAGCTACACAGTTCAGACAGCTTCTGTCCTGTAAATCATCAATTCCCAAGATAGTCTTTGCAGATTGCTGACACAGCACACCACAAATAGACTACACCATCCTTAATAAACACTATAGACTGTTTCACAAGAAAGTCGTTCAAACAACACTGAAAAAGCTTCCTTTTCCAACTAATACTCAATATGTTACCCTGGAAATTAACACTCATGTTAAGGAATAATTTAGGATTAACATTGTAACAAAAATCTTATTGAGATCAACTTTTAAACCATTCAAGATATTCAGCTTGAATTATTTTTGATAATTAAAATGAAGCTTTAACCATGACTGCTCACACTGAATCCCACATCTCTCGACCAGGTTAAAGGATTAGACTTCCAAATCAGTAAGTAGGCATTGTCTCCTCTCCTCTTACTCTCTTCCCAAGCATGTAAATAATCTTTGTTGAACAGGCTGGTAGCATTAAATTGGTATTATGCACACCAAAGACTCAGGTCTGCATAAAACACCCCTCTAAACTATTAACTGTCTGATCCTGTAGCACTTAAAGGAAGGGTCTCTCTGATGTCAGTAGGGATTTGAAGTGCAGCGATGGGCTTTGTTTCAACATAGATCTACTAACATAAACGAAGTCTCTACCTTCTTGGCAACAGCAAAAGGTGTTAGAATTGTCTTAGAACTTTTCGAAGCACCTATAACAATTTTCAGTAGTCTGACCACTAGATGATTCTGTTATTAAACATAAGCTTTCAGATTTCACCTATTTAGGCATTTAGTATGCCAGTCTTCAGCATGTATATGAAATATACTACAAAACTACCCAAAGCACAGATCAAGAGCCCTGCAAGTCAGCGAAGATACTGTTGTAATTTAGAGGGCTGGATGAAGGCACCCTCCAAAACTTGGGGAGCACATTTAAGTTGCTCCAAAGCTTAAGAACTAAACATTTACCAAATGATATTTTTGCACAAATCTGTAACTTTAACGGGAAAGAACTGGTATTGTTAAAGTTGAAATAGTCATATTTTGTCAGTTAAAAATGCTCTGGATCAGTGATATGATGTGCACCTCATTACGTCTTTTACATACATGATACTTTACCCTTCCAAACTTGTTTTACAAACAATTAATTCCCTTTGAGAGTATCTGAAAGTCTAGTCTCTATGATGAGCTCCATTCATTAAACAGAAAGGCATAGTGGGATAAAACCTCAATCCTGAGCTTTTTCAACAACTTCTTAACAGAAAAAAGTTATGAAAAATTTAGTTGGAATGGTTGATAATCAGCACTCCAAACACTCAAAGGCTAACATATCTCCAAAAAGAGAAGCTATGTTAGGACAAAATATAATTGATTTCAGCAAGCCTAGTGCAAGATGAAAGTAGATGGCCTAACAAATTATTAATACAGGAGAATCCATTTTTCTCCAACAAAAATGAAACAATGGACATGTGCATCTCATCCAGGGAAGACTGCATTCCAGCTTTCAGCTAGGGCCAACAGATCAATAAACAGTTATCTTGGCTCAAAACTAACATCAACAGTCTGTCATTTTAAATAGGCATGTCTTAAGAAGCAGCCTCACTTCAGTGTTTGTAGTTTAGACAGTCTGAAACACTGGCTATTTCCATGTTTTCATTAACTGCAGTAATTCAAGATCAGCACTGCAAAAAGTATATGAAGTATGCTGGCATCCCACTCAGACTGCTAACAAAATGAGTCGGAGGCATTAAGACTTAGCTGCATTTGAGAAGGGCCAGATTGTTGCTGCTTCTTTAGTGTTTTGGAGTGGGGTTTTTTTGTTCATTTGTTTTTGAAGTCTGATTTTGGTGTATAGCAAATACGTCAGCCTAGATCAGAAAGCAGATAATAAATATTTGCGAAGATATATGGAGCTCTCCCCTGACTGGAGAGAACTACAATAAATCGCAATACTAGCCTAGCTCTCAGTCTTGTGTGGAGTCCAATATTTTCTTCTCAAGTCAATAAATCTTGGATAAATACTATTAAGCCATTTTTGTTATCTCACTGAAAAACAGATTTAAATGCCATTTTTACCACATGCTAACAGGCAATAACAATAATTTAGACAGCGGGCAATTCTTTTCTACTAATCTATACGAAAGATATTCCCAATATCTGCGACTTTCCTTTTCCTACTATGATCTTTCCAAGTTCAAGAATTTCCAGGTTTATTACTAACCAACTTTAATAAAAGCAGTATTTTCTGTATCACAGTTATGATACTAAAGCAACTGGTATCTTGGTATAGATTAGACTTCTGAAGCACTGTGAATACAAAATGTTTTAAAAACCTAGGTGAATTAGATAACCTCACAATTTATTTTTTAAAAATTTGCTGGGAGTAACAATTGAGATAGTTCAAAGAAATTAGGGGTTTCCATGACTGCCACTGTGAAAGTTCTACATTTCATTGCTTTTTTATAATTAAAAATATGTTCAAGAGGAAGCTTACTCTTCTTTCTTTACTAATTCCACTTCCATCAAGTATTTTTAGGAGCACTAAAGTTTTCTGTTCATAACTTATTTGCTTTGAGTGACAGAAGAAAAATATATCATACATCAGGCTGAACACCAAACACAAATCCATCTCATAGTACTATGAGATGCTTTGTTAAGGACTAATGTTTCAAAAGGGCTTCAAACAGCCTTCGTTTGATGAAGATACACTTCTTGGGCTCTCTGTAAGCACACAGCCTGTACAACTGTAGCAAAGAAGGCATAACTGAAAATGCAGGGTAAATAAAAGGTGTGAATAAAAGTGTAGTCATCAAATTTCATTAAATCATACTGACCCATTCAAAATCTCACTATAATAGCTCACTGTTTTGCTCCAGAATAGCTTTATCTACAAGAATTTTCACTAATACAAACTAATCTGAAGTACAAGTCCTTTCATTTCTTACAAACTTTTCTACATTTCCTTCAGAGAAAATACTTGAGATGATAGAAAAAGAGATTACAAAGAATAAGCATCCTCAACATGACCTCATTTTGATACTAATACTAAAGAGCGTATTTTAGTATATGCTCAGGTCTATTAAGGTCTTTTTCTTCAAAAGTATAAAGTTTCTCACTAGTGCTGGTAGGAATCAAAAAGTAAAAATAAATAAAATAGCACAAATGGGAATGGTCAACCTACAGTTTAATTGAAAGTGTACTAAAACCAACACAGGATAAGCTAAAGACCTATTTGCTAAAAAACCCTCACAGATGAAAAAGCTCAGGAACCAAGAGGTAACGATCTACATTACCATATGTCTTAAGGTTATTTCCTATTTGTATTTTTGTGCCCACAACATTCAAGACTGGGTGTACCAAAGATGAAAACTTGCTCAGACAGACCCCGTGGCTGCACCAACAGCATTCTCAATTGGCCCTTTCAAATGTGATTGAAAGAGAAAGAATTCAGTCTGCTTCTAGATGAACTCACAGTGACAATACCTAAAATGCAGGAAAAAACCCTGATGGAGATTCCCCAGGAGTTTATCCATAGGTGTGGAATGGAAGGAGTGTATAAGATTGCTTTTTTTTTTTTTTACCATTTTTACATAATTTATAATACTTTATACACTGGTCTCATAAATATAATACGAACAACTTCACACATGCCAAGCAATTAAAAGCTTCCCAAAAAACGTTTAGGTCTTATCAGAACCACTGGCAGCATCTGCTTTTAGTCGGTAACCACTTAATTTATTCAGAACTACAACTAGGTTTTCTTCAACCAAAATCTTAATGTTAAAAAACTTTGTAGGAACAAAAAGATGCCTGTAAGCATATCAGTTTGCCTTAAAGTGATTAAAGTCAGCATGAAAAAAAAAGATTGTCTGGTTTAAGATCTGTTGCTTGTGTCCCCACCCTTGGCGCATATCATCTTTAAATAAAAAGTGCAAATGGGATTTAGGGACTGGATGGACTGATTTGCCTATTATTTGTCTTCAGTTGCTTATTCTGTAGCCACCTCACATCAACTGTCCCATTGTACTTTGGATTAGCTACAATTAAATTTAAAATAAGGCTCACTGAAGAAAAGGAAGAAACGACATCTAACTTCCAGACTTCTCCCACCCCTAAATCCCACAAAAGTGCTCATTTCCCTTTTTTACAATCCCCCCCTAAAATCTTGATTACAAAACTATTAAACATTTCAGTTCTACCATCCACATAGTCACCTTCCTTTCAAGCAAGGCCAAAAAAGTGATGATGGATTCCCTTTGAATGCAAGAGATACTACACTTTCTTTAAGTAAACAGGCTGACATTACGATTGCAGTCTCTTCTGCGAGTGTACAGATGTCAGATGAACTGGTCCATTTTTGTGGGACCTTGGGTGTATGAACACCAGCAGATAAAGATCTAAGACTGATAATATAAACCCAACGTGAACTATTAACTTCCAAGACCACCTACTGTATAAACAAGTCTGATTTTTGAAGGGATCAGTCAACAGCAGCTGCGCTTTGTCACCGATGGCTGTCTTCTAAGTTTGAAGCCCTTACCACTAGACGGGGGGTTGGTGTCAGTTGATGGAATTCTGCGACCTACAAGGAGGCAGAAAAAAAAATTTATAGCAAACATTATGCTCGAAACTAATTCTAAGCATTCAGTGTATGACATAGTTGTATGTCATTAACGACAACATTCCTGCATAACAGAAGGATGGCAGTTAACAGTCTACACTATGTCTGTAAGAGGTATGGTTCCACAAAAGAAGAGTAGAGGCAGTTTTAAGCTAATTTTGCAGCGTTTACACTTCAGGCTAATCTAGACTTGGAGAGCTAAGTTATAAAAGCACCTGGAGAACACACTCTGCAGGATCCAACACCATATGGAATATCTTCATTGAGAACTACCATCTTGCCCTGTATTTCCACAGTAGATCACCTGCATCAGGTTTAGCGCAGAGGTACTTGCAAAGATAGCTGCTTTAGTCATCTAATCAACCTTTAAAATTGACTATTGCTGGTTGAATACTCTTTTCTGAGGAGGCTTTATGATTTTTTTCCAATAGTTTTTTCAAGATCAATTTTAGAGAGCAACCGTTAAGTCAGTAAATTGGGAAGCTAATCTACAGCATGCACATACATCAGCTTGTCAACTGCTTATAAGGACCCTATTTTATTTTCTTAAGTCTAACATTTCTTGTAGTTATTCAAAGCTAAATTGCAGTGCACACAAAAATGGATCACTGTTTGTCCTCTTTCCACAAAGAGACCTGCACATTGCTGCTGCTGCCCAAAACATATCCTGCAAATAATATTGCATAGAATTCATTTTGGAACAGTCTGCTTTTCATTCACACAAAAAAATTGTCATTGTTGTCCCCACCACGAATGACACAGAAAAGATTTGCAATTTAATTAAAAAAAAAACCTCAGGGTGTCACAAAAATACTAATGGCAAATCTACACAAAATAATTGCTATTTCCTAGGTGGTAATCTGGCATTTACGAAGTCCTGTTATTTTTGAAAATGCACTGGTTTAGACTAAGTGCGAACACAGAGTGAGAACTTAATTCTTTTTTCTCAGCTGTATAAAGTCTGAATCTTCCTCATGCCATTTCCTTTCCCTTCCATAATCTTGGAAGTACTCATTGGAAACATTCAACAACAGATACAGTAAGATGACACTGACTTCTGACCTGAGTGTCCTGCTTGCTATTTATCCAGCAGCATCACAGTAGGCTTAAAATCTCTAAAAGGAATATTTAAAGGTCATTAGAGGATCAAGAATTTATACAGCTCATTTTGCAGTTTGTATTCATGTCTAGTTGTAACAAATTTAAGTCAGTAGACTCTCACCTGTATAGCACAAAACTAATACAGTAATCAAATTTCTACTTGAACTTCTTTCAGAAGAAAGCACATTAACTGTTCAAATACTTACTTATTTCTATGAAGAGTTCATTAATGTTTATTGCATTTTTCGCACTTGTCTCTACAAATATTGCATGAATGGAATCTGCATAGTCTTTAGCATCTTTTTCCATGACTTCTCTGGGAAATAAAGTAAAGGAAAAATGTGAATGCAAAAAACACCACAGTACTTTAAATCTTAAAGGACACAGTAATCTTAAGTGTCTCATTAAAAAAGGTTGGGTTTTTTTACCTGTTTGTCATCACAGTGCTCCCTCATCCTGAAGTTGATGCTCATTCATTACTCTATGCTGTCTCCCTGCCTTGAGGTATGAGCATCACTGAAGCACAATCATGAACTAAACAAGACTTTAATCCATCTAACAACATTACAGTGGAGTTTTTCTCTTGAGTGCTCTAAGCATAGGTCTGTGATCGATCATTAGGGGTGCTTTATTCTTCACACACAGAACCATTTTAGATATACTGAAAAGATCTTAAAGCATTAGTTCCACTAATCCAGTGGATTTCCTACAGCTGTTTACAAAACCAAGTATCCCACAACACTGCACAGATCATTAGTATAGCATTTACTTTACATGAAGCATGAAGACATAGCTACAGAAACATATTTAGACTGAGCACACAACAGAGCCAAAAGTGAAAATGTTATTCTGCATCCTTAAGAAAACAAGTTGATAATGAAGTATGCTTCCTTAAACAACATGAAAAAAACACCAAAACCCAACAAACCCCAATAGGTGGGGATAGGACTGGAATGTATCTTGTATCACTTCACATACGATTTCTAGAAAACATAGGCTCCTTTCAGTAACAAGGGACTTGGAATACCAAATGCACAGACTTTGGATCAGTGACTCAAATAGTGCCTCTGACTGAAGTACAAGGAATCTTGCTCATTAGTTTGAATTGTTTACATAATTTACGATGCCACCTAAGCACCAAGAAATAAGCGTATGAGACTTACTACTGCATGGCTTGTATTTGTCTTCTAAGTAATTTTATGTCATATTTCCTTCAAGACACATGCTACTTCCAACAAGTTATTAGAGCTCATAGATAACTGCTATATATTAACAATTTGTAAAAACTATACTAAGAACCAACTTTGCAGTGGTTCTTTAAACATATAACCATCTGTTTCCTTTGAGACACCAGCTGTGGTACCTTTTCCAATGAAATCTAAAAACAAGAAGTTTGCACACACCTTCTTTCTGAATTTTGGCTTATTTAACCAGGCCATCAATAAAAAAGGGCTTCTTTTGTTTTTAGTACATGCCTTCTTGAAAGTTTGGCTGTTCATAAAGCTTCTCAAGAACTTTTCCCACTCCCCGCAACTATTTCAGCCACAGCCAATTCCACCCCAACATTTAAGCAGGGAAGGAAGGCACCTGAACAAGCAAGTCAGAAAAACCTACACAATGGTTTCCAACAAGCTCGATGTTTTTCCTAACAAAATGAGGTGCTACAGACTGACAGGGATACTTCTTATAAAGTGAGGTAAACAGCTTGTATTACACTGTAGTTTCACAGGCAGTTTAGGCTTGTGTAACTTGGCACTGCCACCAGAAAAGGTAATCCTGCCTCCCCATAAACTGCTCGTTCCTAACCCTGCTATCCTACCTCTGTCATGCCAGCAAGTGTTCATGGTGTTAGCAAGACAAATACGCTTGGATCAGTTTTCCTGTTTTTTAAATGGTTAGTTTTAATCTGGATCCATTTTACAGCCTCATTTACTGCCCAATCGCACACATACTCACACCAACACAGGGGAGGAAGTGGGCAAGGCTGTCCAGAGGCAGACTAATCAAATCTTCTGACAGTAGAAACAGATCAGATCCCTTGTGAAACTACAGTCCTAGTGCAAAACAGCTTAAATTGCTCTATACCTTTCACCTGTTTTGAAATCTTAAAATATTTAGCACTATGACCTGAAGTGAAAACATCTAAACTGTCAACGGTTATTTACCTTACGTCATTAAGATCACACTTATTTCCTGCAATAGCTACAACAATGTTTGGAGGTCCATGCTGTCGAAGCTCTTTAACCCAGTTCTTTAATGTTGAGAAAGTTTCCTGATATGGAGAAAAAAAAAGAGAAACAGGAGGAATTAAGAGTCAGAACTGGCCCATGACACACAAAAAAGCCCCCAGAAATTGTAATGCTGGGTCAAGATCAAATTTCTTACCTCTTTTGTGATGTCATACACTATAATGGCTGCAGCTGACCCTCTGTAATACATTGGGGCTAAAGCACGAAACTGAAAGAAAGACACCATACATTATGAATCTGATCTTCCACTGACTTCCATGATTTCCTTATTATTATTATTGAAGAAAGTGAAAACTAGCTTTAAAGTTCACATCAGCGAAAAACTGTTCTTTACAGTTACAGAGAGGCTGTGCAGTAGAGTCCATAAACTTCCATTAAAGTATTGTTTTACAAAGGCCAACCAATAAATAGCTTAGGGATCGGCAGCAAACCTACTGCAAGAAGCAGGAAGCTAAACTTGACCTTATTTTGACTAGATTAAAATCTCTCATTTAAAAGACTGTAGAGCATACACAGACAAAAACCCGCAGGATACATGCTCAACTTTAAACACCAAGCAAGGGGAAAACAGTCAAAATTGAACTTGCTTCTTCCTCTTTAAAACACTCATGATTTTGGACAAAAAGTAATTCCAAGAAAACTAGCATACATTACTGCTGATCTGAAATGTTCAGAAGTTGGTGCCAACCTCCAGCCCCATGGATCAGTCATGGCACTCTTAAATGCTAGAAATGTTGGTTTCTTTGTAACCTAACTTAGGGTTTTAGGGATTTCACTTAAGTTTTTCCTCAAAAGTTAGAAACACATTTAAAACTAAAAACCGCAAAAGCCCACAACTATGTGTCCTGTTGCAAACAGAGCTTTAAGGAACATGCTAGAGTAAAAGGCTACAGTAACTTTTTTTGTAATTTTCAGAATTAAATCTACAGCAGGCATATTTGATTGGTAGTGCATTTGCAGGGTATAAACCAGGCCTGTACCTTTGCATAGGTAGAGTGTTATGAATCCAGGACTGAAAAAAGTGATAGAGCACATGATTAAGTTGCATCAAAAATATCAATCAAGCATTCTTAAAAACAGTGTGATATTCTGCCAATTTAAAAAGAACCAGACAACTAATCTAGCAACCAAAACTCTCAAAGCACAGAGTAAACCATGTACTGTGCTGATGTAAGCGTGCGTGATTAAGAGCTTTCATGCATCTTCCTACTCAGGGTAAAAATCATGAACAAAATATAGCTTTTCATAAAGACTTATTTGGTTCTAATAAAATACCAATTTCCTTTTGCTTTGTACAGTTCAACTAAGAGCAATATTATAAATCACAAAAATCTTGCTATAAAGCAGAATTCCAAACCATTTACATGTGGCTCTCAAATTCTGTTTTGAAAACAGGATTTTGAACACAAAGTTCAGAATATAAAAATATTTAATAGTGGGAAAGGGAAACATGGGCAGGCATTCAGTTCATGTCGGGACATAATCCCTCTCTTCCTCCTAAGTACTAAAATGTAAAGGGAAACATATTTGGTAAACCACCACTTGGACTGGTTGCAGCCTGGCTTTTTGATTATTTGGCGACTTACATTGGGCATAAACCAAGTTTCACTTGCTGATTTTCTATTACTCTCATTTCCTGCCTGCTAACACTTAGATACTTTTTTCCACCTAAGAGCAGTCGGCAGATAAAATATATTAACAAAACAGATGTTACCAGAAACACTGAGTTTTCCTTTTGCTATTTTTCCAAAGACTTCAGCTTGCCCTCCAGCCTCCCATTTGTGTTTTGACAGAATTATGAAGATGACATAATGTAATTATCCAAAGAAACCATCAAAATTGTTAGGTAAGAAGGCAAAGTCCTAACTGCTGTAAGTAATGTCCTATCAACTTAGCATAGAAAAAATGAGAGAAGAAATAAGGCATATGTGCAGGGCTATGAGCTGTGTGAATTAGAGCACATTTCCACCTCTGGAGTGAAGCTAGCCAGCCATTCCCTGAAGCCATTTAGAACAAGGGGGTGCCCAGCATAGTGTCGAACTATTCACTGCTGGGCTTTAGAAGTGGAAAACAGCAAATGGTCCTCAAGAAGCCAGGCCTATGAATTCTGTGCATTACACATCACAGCTCAGCAGAGACATTTTAGTTCCAAGAATGGTGTGGACATTTTTGGTATTATTCCAGATCACCATGGAGGGGATCTGTTCCATAATTCATTGTCAGATGCGTTGCACGATCAGAAAACTGTGCTACAGATTTCAGGGCAAGGCATGTATACTAGTCACAAGTGGTCTATTCTAAGTGATAGTGCTGTTGTGTTTTGGAGAAAGAAACATCTATGAAGATACCGGCATCATTTAAAAGCCAATACCCTTGCTCCCATTTCACTGGTTCGGATATACTGGAGCCTCACAGTGACTTCTCAGAGGTGTGGAACATAACCACACAGATATCACAGCTCTTGGGTCAGAGCCCACGTAAGACATCTTTCCTCTTTTTTGATTTCAATAAAGATATGATGCAACTCATATGGAAGAAAAGCAAAGAGACATCACTCAAAGTCTAACAACAGAAAGACAAGGAACACACCAGTCATGTACAGAGGTGCTTCCTCAGATTGTAGTGTGTTGAATCCAAATTACGGTATTCTCCTATTGCTTGCAAACACAGTTAAAGTGAACCGGATGGAATGCTAATACATAATGGATGTCTCCTGTCAAGTCATGGCAGGCATGTTTATAAAGCTTTCCATTTAAGAGTACCAGCCTCTCAAAATTCATAGGCTGCCTCTCAGAAGACTCACATTCCAGCATTAGCATTTCAGAACAGGCTAGGATATTGGCTTAAGACAAACTATTTACAGCAAATGCTGACTGCTAGTAGTGGAAGGACTCGGATATTTCTGATAACATGGATACTGTTGGACATATCCTGGGGACACATCCCTGACAACATAAGTTTGCTTTATACGCTGCTGCTGGAAGGAAATAAATTGTCATTCAAAATCAAGAGCACTGAAGTGCAATACAAATATACTTGAGTTACTTTCTAGCCCTCATGGCTGTTATCAAGCTAAAAAACTAGCAAGTCAGTTCTACCAGGACTCCAAAAGGTCAAGTGGCTCTGAACAGGGATGATCGAGCCTTCACAAGCAGGGGTTTTTTGTTTGTGGGTTTTTTGGGTGTTTCTGTTTTTTTGTTTTGGTGGTGGTTTGGTGGGGTTTTTGTCTTGTTTGGCTTTTTCTTTGCTTGGGCTCTCCGTTTCTTGAGCCAATCCTGAAAAATAGTACAGTTGATTTTGCCAGTTATTATCCTAAAGTAATAATCCAACCTGATCAAACTGACTTTTGCTGGGGACAGCTCTGGTATCTACCTTTGTTACAGTTAGCTCACATCCTCATTGTGAGTAATTTATAGTTGCCAGTAAAGTCAAGAAACTGCAATAATAAGCACTTAACACAGTTACTATAATTTCTACTGTTACTAGTAACTCATAAACAAGCAAGTCAACTAGCAAGCAAAATTTTCCTTTTAAATTCTAAGTAAAAATCATGCAAATTAATTAACTGATTTCATGTGACTAGTCATTTTCTTGAAAACTTTTTTGCCTCCCCTCAGAACTATGCATGCTGCAGAGATAAAAATCCCAAACTACCAAATTAAAATTTCAAAATAAATTTCTTGACATAGCTTCTAACACTATCGGATTTGAGAAGTAACACTTTACTAAATAATAAAAGATCAGTTATCACCTATAACATTGCTTTAAATGCTGCTTTTGAAAGCCACATCCTACTCACATTAATAACCCTAACACTGAAGCTAAGAGAAGTGTTAGCAGTTGCATTTTTCCAGAATCAGGGCCTTACTTGTACTATGAAACATGGTCATTCATTTCACTTTGATTCACATATTGCCAGTTGCACCAGCTGCAAATACTGCAGTTCAATGTTTAAAACTCAACTAGAAATGGTACTAGAGACAGCTGCTGGCTTCCTCCCCGCCTTGTTTTCTTCTGAAATGACACTCCCTTTCAGTGAAATCTAAAGGCTTTTTGTTTTATAATCTCCTCTTCTTAGGTAATCATCCTTAACTTTGTACTTTAATTATGATAACAATGAAAAATAAAAACATATTCACAGCACCCGTATCTAGATAGAAACCTGCATAGAAACAGACATTCTAATAGATGCTTGTAAAACCGGATCACATTGTGACTTTCAAGGGCAGGGCTGAAAAGCAACCCAAACTCTATCCAGAACTATCACCACAGATATTGATTCTACTTACTCGCTCCTGTCCAGCTGTATCCCAAATTAGGAATTTATGCAGCTCATTTTGATACTGTACAGTCTTGGTCATAAATGAGGCTCTGGAAAAAAATTACAGTTTATGCTTTTCAGAATATAAATACATCTTAGAGCATTACCACCATGAACTTTTTAAAAGTTTTACATTCCAATACAAGTGCCTTCCACACACACAAAACTGATGAAGATTTTCATACATGAAGGCTGAAATTAATGAGGCAAAGGGCCTCAGAGGATAAAATTCAACTAACAAAACAGAAGGAATGCAAATGCAAATTATAAGCTTTTATTGTTCGTAAGCTTTTGATAAAAATAAAGGATGTATGACCAAAAAATAATCACAGAGGTCAGCCTTTTTAACAACATTCTTCCTAAAAGGAGGAACCACCACACCAAATCACTTAAGTATATACCAGAAGCTTAGGAAAGAGATCAAATCCTTCCCCCTTGTATCAGCTTTTTCTATCTCTGTACTAACATTCAGATAAATGCTGGTAAGTCCATACTTGGGAATAAAATAGGGGAGATTCGTATCAGTATTGCTAAGTGTTAAGAAGACAGAAAAATCAATAATGAATAACTTGCTTTTGTCTGCACTCTGTACAGCTCCCAAATCCTGTCTGTCATTATATGCTTCAGTCTGCAGAGGCTCTTGCATTTCCAGAAAACAAACAATAAAAAATAATCTCTTCCTATGCTCCAGCTGCCCCTCAATTTCTAGATGTTTCACAGTAAGATATTGCAAAATATTGTAAAGTACTTTTGTGCTTTACTTGATCTGCTTTACATCAGTGTATTTTCCACAGGAACAGGAATTCAGAGACCTAATCTTTTAGAAGGAGGAGTTCTTTGCTATATCTATTACCTGTAGGCACATTTTTTTACTAGAAAAGCCACACACTGAATTCAAATCCTTGTAGGATAGGAACTATAGATGCCATAATTATTTTAAGCATATGAGATCCTATTGTTATGATCTTGAACACCTTTTGTATGCTTAATTCCTGTCACTTGAAAATACTGCAGACTTCCTAACTTGTTCTACTGCCAGTTTTGGATAGGATGCAGGATAGGATCCTGGAGGTGGCCTGTACTGGAGCTTCTTACAGTATGCTAAGCTCGCTGTAGATTCAGAGAGCAGGAGTCTTTCAGTGTGATCAACAGCAACGTTAAATACCTGATTCCAAGACTCTGAACTTCAGTTTATCTTGGATCTTAAATACCACCAGGGTATAGATATTAATGATCTCCATAGGAGGACAAAACAGCTATCTACATTTAAAAAAGGAAAGGGAGCAATTATGCACAGCTTTCAACTGTCAAGAGGTAACCTTCTCCCCATTTGTTAAGCTCAGAAGGTTTGCCAAATAGTACGCCAATCTCCAAAGGTGATTACTCTTTCAAGAAACCAAATATAAGGTTGCAGCATTCTTGAAGAGAGTCTAACTGCAATGCATTTCAACACAGTTAACTAGATGATATATTTCAGCAATGAGTAATGGAAAATAAAGTGATAAGAGTATCTGTTGTAAAGCAAAGACTTCCAGCTCCTTAAGACTGCTGCAAATTCAGCATCAATTCTGAATTCTCTGGCCAATATGGAAACAATTTCCTAAATCATAGATTCTCACTGAAAATTTCTCTTACTTGGTTCTATGAACCAAAATATTTCTGTACAGTCAATTGGAACTGAACAGCTGTGTTGCTCTAATTCACATCACACTAAACACCACAAATGGTAGCTGACAATAGAGGTTAAATGCGTCTTGAAATTCTTTGACAAGTGGTAGCTTTCATTGTGACAGATGTCAATTAAAAAAAATAAAAAACAACAAGCAGCTCAAAGGTAAACCACTTTTGGGTCAACAAAAGCCTCCAACTAGAGCTATTCTCAATGACTTCTAGTAAGAAAACAAGCATTTTCCCTACTAAATTTCCTAGCTGCTTCTCCCAACCAAGTAAGCACTATAACTACGTGAACAAGATGCAACTGAAAGTACTTTTATACTCATTCATAAATCCTTGTTGATGCTATAATGAAAGACTAGCTATTCTGTGATACCTAGAGATATATGCTGGTCAGGAAAAGCAGGATGTACCCTCAGCATCCTGAGAAGACAACAGTTGCAGAGTTCTGACAAGGTTTCTACAGCTGCCCACATTTGAACTTGAATGATGAACTCTGAACATTCATGAAGTATGACTGCTGAGACAGAAGCATCACAAATCACAATCTTTGCTCCGCAGCTTTAGACAGTCTTGCAGACATGCAGAGCCTAAAGCCATCAAGCACAGTATTTTAGAATTTAGAATCTGAAAGCAGACTTGAGGAAGCTGCAGTTCACATGTGACTGGAGACATAATGCAAATTCCATACTGGGTCACTCAAACGTTCAACCCACATAGTCTAGATGTGTGGTGACATATGTCTAACTATGGAACAGAGCATCCCAACTAAATAAATAGGCACCACTCATGTTTGCAAAACCTAAGTCTGTGTTACCATACATGGTCACCTGCTAGTTAAACAGGCTTTAACTTTTCTTTTACCTCCCCCAGGAACTACATGCATGAACACGATGCTAACTTTGGGTCACTGTAGATACTACCCATATTAGCCAACTATTTCACAAACTCTGATTTTAAAAGCATCTGGATGACTAGGAACAAAGACTGGTAACCAATTTCTCAAACACCTCGGGTAATAAGAAAAAAACCTGGATCTTTCAATAGCATCCACCTGAAGAAGTTTTGCTTGCAGTTGATATTAATGTGGACAGTAGGTCTGAACTTAAACATTTAAGACAGCTTGCACCCCTACTTGTGCAAAAAGTAGTATGACTACTATCCACACATCAGTTTCGTGGTCCTCCAAACAAGAACCTTCACTGTAGCTAATTTGGCAGTACCAAAGAATGTTCATTCCTTGAACATCCATGAAAACCACTTAGCAATCTATCTCAAAAGCTACCTTTGTTAACTTTGAAATTAAAATAAAAGCATACTTCCTACAGAATATCTTGCAATTTGATACCAGTATTTACACTCAAAAAAAGAAGTAGGGGGTATACGGAAGAGGAGAGATATATATCATGGGAACCACTTTTTTTTAGAAGGACAGGATGAGACACAGTTGATCTTTATCAGCAGGATCTTTTTTGGTTAAGGCTGTAGTAGAGCCTGTGTGATACCTGAGACAGGAAGTTGCATTGACATCGCCCCCCTACTTCTCAGCATCAAGTGAAATCATGTCCTCCTGTAAGTAAAAAATTGCTTCTTATGGGCAAAGCAGCCCCTAAGACACTTGCAAAGCAAAAAGGACAGGAAAAGAAATAATAAAAAAGATCCATCCACTCCAAGAATTCCTGATGCTCCCCCTTCCTTCTATCCATTTGAAGATTTGAGCTCAATAACATTGCTACTCTGAGGCTCAACGTTCAAGTATGCTTAGCTGTGAGATCAACTGCATTAACAATTTAATCAGTTACTTACGAGTGTGTGTATTGCATATAGAGGTATAACATCAGAACTAATTCATGAATACAACCTGAATTAGTACATTAACTACCTTCAAAATACTAGGAGACTTGTTATTGTACTCGACTCAAAAAAAAAAACCTTAGAAAAAATAATCATGTAGTTGTATAATAACTGGACTTTGAAATTTAAGAGCAGTGCATGAGAAAAGTGTATTGTTCCTTCAACAGAAACATCTATGGTGTAATTTATCCATAACCCAGGACTCCCAGCAAGATTTTTGTTAGCTTAAGTTAACAATACAAAATGGGTCCAGATCTTACACATGAAAATGGAAGCTGCAGGAGTGCAGAATACAGTCCCATGTTTCCTAAGGTAGCTCATGAGTTAATTAAGGCTGCAGTCATGTTTATTACCACATTTAGCTGCCACACATGGAGAATCCTCAAGTGATCTATGCAGGAGGTACAAATATATATTCAAGAATAAAACCAAATTGTATGAATAAGTCACATTTACTTCATTTAGTTTCTTACCCTATCGTTGGGTTGATGTTGGGATCAAAGCTATCTTCTACAAATCTCCATACAATACTTGATTTGCCCACACCAGTGTCCTAAAAAAAAAAAAAAACCAAACCAAAAAACAACCCCCAAAAATAAAAAAAGACAGAAACAGTTGAAAGAGACCTTAGTTACTATAAACAGTTGCTTTTTTTTGTCCTCCAATCTTGCAATACACTATGCATGAATAACATGCTCTTACAGAGAATCTCAGACAAGTTAGATGCTGAAATACTTCAGGTATTATATTTGTTAAGTAGAAAAATGAAAGGTCTCTGATAAGTTACAGTTTTCTAAACAAAATTAAGATGTTTTTATGAAGGAATATAAAAATCTGCATTCACTCTTACTATCAGTTATTCAAACATGTTTGCTTTTGTGTTTTGTTTTTTTTTCCCAAAGCGATGCACAAATTCCATTTGAACAGGAGTAGAGAAAGATCATCTGCTACTTTTAGTAAAATATACAGCAATTAAGTATGGTATTCCATCTTTGCATGCCAATGGAACACATGAAATTATACAAGTGACACACACATTTCAACCTCTGACTAATGCCGTCCCACCCTGCTTAATGAAAGGCTTGAAATTTCTTGTGACACACCTGAAACATGTTTCTAATGCAACACTACAGAACTATAAGTGGTAAAAGAAGAAATATAACATGAAAATTCTGGGTCATGTATGTATTTGCACCACTAACTCCATGGTTTAAAAAAAAAAATATCTAGAAGGCATATTTAGGAGTAAAATAATTCAACAAACTATTAGCAGTAAAACTGTTCTCAATAGTAGCTGGGCTTTTTAAATGGTCATTTAATTAAGACAGGCGAAGACAAATTTTTTGCTTTACATCTCCAGAGTCAATAAAATTTTAATGGAAAAAGCCTGAAGAACTGCTTCATTGAAAATGAAGCTTTATACCATTCATGCATTTTCTTGAATCTTCTGAATACTGTAATAAGTTTGGGTACAGTATGTATGCTTGTGTTTATCTTTTCAAGCTGCTTTCCTCTCAAGGAAAGGTGTATTATCGCAGTTCTGTATTTTGTAACATTTACAGTCTGAATAAGCAGTGAAAAATCTTACAAAAAAAGAAACATAGATGCAGTCCCTGACTCTGAGAGTTCAAGGACCAGTTTTCCTGGGTGCTTATTCTCTTTCTTACACAATGAAAGGTTTCTCAGGTTGGGTGAACGCAAACCATAGCTAGTAGTTACCCCGAACACCTTCATGATACGAAGGGCACAGAAACACATTATTTTCCCTCTGAAGAGCAACGTGGCCATTTAGAAGCAGAAAACAATGCTGCCTGTCATACTCTGTACAACACAGGATTTAGACACAGGTGGAGATGACATGAGGCTCTCCAGTGAAGCCCTCAGACCAAACCAAGCCCACGCACAGCTTTATTGCCTTGATTTTTTAAAAACTTTTACTTCAGTTTGTTTGATATCTCCTCTTTCCACCACCTGCAATGCTTTCTAAGCCTTCATATGTTGTAACAAAAAAGTTCAGGCCCCTCCCTCTCTCCCACAAGTTTGATTTCAGGTTTTTTAATTTATTTATTTATTTAGTGAACTACAAGCCCCAAACAGCTTGCGAGGAAGAGGGAAGCATACACTGGATGCGCGTGCTTCCTCTCTTTTCTTTTTTCTAAAGAAAAGCACAGAAAAAAGAGGAGCGGTATTTACCTCTAGAAAACACCTCCCCCCATGTAGGGGAAGGCCCTTCCGGCCCCCGGTCTCCTCAGGGACAGGGACGGGG